CTTCTCTCTCTCTCTCTCTCTCTCTCTCTCTTCTCTTCTCTCTCTCCCTCCATATAACGTCTAGCGGTGACATGTGTCAACAGATTTGATAAAGATTCAATTCGTAGCGCTCTTTTACGTCAATGTCGCGATCGGGGCGTTCGATATTCCGCCGCTGCCCGAGAAAATATACAGATATAACACACGTCACGCTGTCACGTATTTCGCCACGACACAGGGGTCGGAGGGGAGATACGCTCCTCTAAAGGCGAAGCAGCGAGCCTGGTTGACAACAGCGGTCAACGCGTGGAATCTATACTGTCGTGCGTGACGCACTTCCGGTGACGGCTGTTTTGTATGCAAGGAAACGATCGGGTAATACAGCTTGCTTAGCATCCATTCGCTCTAGCCGAGCGATCGAGGTTCTCCTTTGCGGAGGGACCCACCGCGCAAAGGATCCGTGTGTTCCGGGCCGCACCGGAACCGCACGCGCGATTTCCAACGCGACTGTCAACAGACGACGAAGATGCCGCGAATCGCAGCTGCATCTGCGCCAGCTATCTGGTAAATAGGAAAATACAGAACGACACTCCGAGGTCTCCATCTTTCCCCCCTTTTTTTAAATTTTAAATATATTTTCCATCGGATTCTCGGAGGACAGGAGTGAAGGATCGTTGAAGATACGATCGATTCTTCGCGTCCAAATAAACCGATTCTTTTTGCTTCCTCGTAAAATTATGCTTATTTAGCTAATGCGTGTCTGCTACGGAAAGTTTCCGTGCTCGTCGGCGACACGCCCCGTTCTCGCGTTTCCTTCGCGTTTCGAGAACGAATTCGCACGTGCATGAAAGACAAACGTGAAAGCTTTTCTTGACTTGTATATAAAGCGCGTTATAGTCAATCTTTTATCGAATTGTGCGCGGTGTCTTTAACGTAAATCGTAAATCTAAAAGAAATGTCTATGTTGATGTTTAAAGCACTCATTATTGATATAAGTTATTGTTAAAAAAAAAAAACAGAATTGATTATTTGTATTTTTTATTCTTTTTAGTAATCGCAAATCAAATTCAAGACTCAAATTTAAATAATATTCAATTCTGTCATTTTCCTGCGTGCGTTACGAACTTGTATCACACGGTATGTATGTACGATTTTATTTTATAGTTTCTCAGCACGCAACTTTCTCTTCGTATCTCACGCCGGCGTTCAAAAGCGCCAGGAGTTACTTTACCTTGTTTAATATAACGTGTTATTAAATGTAAAGCGTATCTCTTTTACACATAAAATTAATTATTCCCACTACCATTATTATTTAACGATACCTATTGCAATTTTTTATTTTGATTACCGCGTAATAATAGCTATATTAAATCACTCCACCGACTAATCCCATCGCGAAAAAACGATTACGTCTACTTGAAGTCTACAGTGGCGAGTTTCGGTAACGCCCGGCCCGGAACTATCGCTTAAATCGGAACCGGGAGGTGCGAAGGATCCGGCGCATTATGCGCGAGCGTGCGCGACGACCACTTAACATGAGCATACAAAAAGCCAATAATGCAGCGTTGGCATGCACGGCCGCGAGGTCTCGGGATCGTGCGGGTTAACGGTCTCGTCTTTCCGGCGGATTGGCCTTGCTTCCGGAGACATATAGGGTAAACAATAAGAAAGCGGCAAGCGCAGACCTCTCCGCTCGTACAAGCGGGACCCGCTTACGTTGGCTCGCGCGCTCTATGTCCGGTATATCGCTGAGGGCGATCGCCGATACGTAGTATTATTAAGCGTGTCCGTACAACGACACCGATGTGCCGGCACGCGCTTCGAGTCTCGAACGAGTCGCTCGAGGATCCCGAGATACGACACGTGAATCCTAATGTACGTACAAAGTTATGAGAGTGCTTTTCGGGGGCGAAAAGAAGATTCTTCGAAGAATCATGCCTTTGTCGAACATACTGTACATTCACGAAAAAAATGGATTTCTAAATTTTAATAACTATCTAAGTACGACGAAATCATCTAAGCGAAAAGAAATAGATTCATGATGTGTCTTTCATCTTTCTCATCGATGACCTTAGAAAAGTGAGTTAACGACGTTTCACGTTCGAAGGACTTGAGATTCTCCACGGCGAAAGCCGGTTTGACGTTATCATTTGGAAATTAGGACCTCAACGGCAGCGTCCTCCGCTCGGCGCCGATAGGACTCGAAATATTTCGCGGCTAATGAGACGAGGCTGGTATCCCACACCCTTCGGTGCCCCGCCCAGGAGATACGTCTCGCGTGGATGATGTACGGCCGTTTAATGACCCGGTTTCGGTCCCGGGGGACGGTTTTTGTCTCGCCGATAAGGGTTGAGGGGGACGTACCCGGTGGAAAAGTCAGCGACACTCGTTTTTCGTTAGGCGGAAGGGACGCGGACCCGCGCGCGCAGCCTCGCTCCTTCGGCAACATGCGGATGACAGCGATTCGTCGAACCGCGTGACAGGCAGCCCGCGGAATGCACGCCGTTCTTTCCCCATTAGGCTTAATGGACGTAGATTAGTCCTGCCCCGGCTATGTGTATGCGCGTCGGGATTTAATGACTCGGCCGCACCCCTCTATCCGATATCGCTGCCTTCTCTCGGTGTCCGTACAGACGTTGCGGAGAAGTAGCGTGCTGCTGCACTGATTGCAGGCGGATCGAAAGAGGCCACCGTTCTCGACCGAGCGACCCTCCAATTTCAGAAAAATATCAAAAATGAGTATCAACGTGAGATCGCTAACACGGTAAAACTGATACACTCCGCCGAGAATCGTTTCTCGATTAAACGGAATGAATAATTCATAAAAATATATGCCTCGATTAAGAGGTACAGGAGGTACCAAGCAAAAGAGTCGTCGACGTGATAAATCATAAGTTTAACATGTGTGATAAATTATTCCATTTTACACTTCATTCTACGGAACGTTTCCTAAATTCACAGCCTGCCAAGATAACGATCTTTCCTCCGCTCGACTTTATTTTATAGAAGAACTTGTTAAACGGCGCGCTTCGTCAGCATGTAATAAACAGGAAAACGAATGTCTGGGAGTACAGGCTAATTAGTAATTAAGCGGTGGCCGATCCGTTACCGTTCGCCGCATATCTTTCTGCGAAGCACAGGAAGCGTGCTTCCATAAATTTCGTAAGTTCAGCGATAACGGTCGAGAGAAGCGTGAAGCAATAATCTCGACTTGCGATAATTCAGCGTGACTTTAATCACGAACGACGGAGTTGAGAGTGCGTTTCGCGGACGGATTTAAGCGATCGTGTGACAAAGTAGCGCACTGTGTATCATTTTGTATAAATTCGGTGATATTCACCGGGAGAATGAGTAAGA